AAAAAAGCATTTGGCCTAAAAAAATATATGGTGCATTTTCCGATATAATAAGGTATATCTGGGCAAAATTTGAGCAAAATCGATTTTTCAGTCGTGGCCGCGAAATATCTCATATGTTCGATTTTTACTGACATGCACTCTTAAGTTCGACTTCGAATACCGATACCAACAACAGGTCATGTTCATGCGCTGTGGTCGCAAAAAGGGCAAACGCAAAAAGAGCGACTTCGCTCAGTCAATTTAAGCGTAGTATTGCGGAACTGTCCTTTTTGAACCATGTTGCCTTAATTATAGTTCAACTCTCTTTATTTACTTTACTTTACTTTATTTTTCTCAGTTTGTTGTTGGGGGGAGGTTGGGGGGTTCATATAATATTCCATATATTCTACTGTTTTATATATCACGCCCCTCCTGTAAGTCAGCTTTTAGTTGTGCGAGGCTAGCGTGTTTTGATTTTAAATAAAATTGATTGATGATGATGATGAGGCACGTAGCGAAGCAAGTTGAGGGGTGTCGGAGGATTTTGTCAGATACTGTGGTAAAAATATAATTAAGAATTGCAGGAATTTCTATTTTAGAGACATCTGGATTGATTAGATCACAGGCGGCCCAATCTCAGAATGAATGATCAGGTGTTGCGGGTTTTTAACGGTTTTTATAAACAAATTTATAGACTATTTTAAAATCATTTTTAAATTAGTCAAATAAATACATTTTAACAATAAAATATAGTTGACATAATAGTATAATACCTTTGCATTCTTTTAATTACTCCATGAGCTCATTTAGAGCGGTTGATGTAACATTTTCTGTGGCCTACATTGTGTGTGCTCATCTATATATAATATAACAGTAAAACTAAAAGGCTAATCACTGGCGCCACGACCGCTCTCTTTCTAAATCATATGGTTTGATCATAGCTTGGGCAAATTTAGCGACGAACGGAGCCAAAATCTCCTCAATTTCGGATACTGTTCAAAATACTTAGGGCTGCTCGGGCACGATCGTGGACGTGACGTAATCAATAGATACTGACAATAACGCCTTACCACCTTACGTGGGG